TAAGCGGATTGCGGGAGCTGCGTGTGGCCTGCAGCGGGATTTGTGTAGGTATTTGCTCGTCGGATCGTCTCTCCCCGAGCTGCTCAGCCGTGCGGGGTTTGGAGAACGCTCCCTCTGGAGACGCAGGAGCCTCGGATGCCGCGCAGCAATTATGCCCAAGTCTGCCTGTAATCTTTAACGATTTATTCCCAGGGCAACACAATAAACTAAACACACAAAAATCCGGGCTGCTGGGAATCCTGGGATCTCCCAGCTTGTGTCTCTGGAGGTTCCAGACACCTTCAACCGTACTGAAATCTGCACACACTTCCTAAAGCGCCAGCTCCTGGAGTCATGGGATCGCCGGAGGAGAGGAGCTTCCTCCCAGGAAGGAGATGGAGCCGTGTGAGGAGGGTGGCGACTGGGAAAGGGGCTCTTCAGGGCTGCCAGGATGTGGGGAGATGCCCAGCCCTCGGGCCATGTCTGCTCTGCCAAAGAACCCAAGCGGGCCGCACTCCCAGCCACCACCACAATGTCCCCTTGTCCCTCCCCCCAGATCGGAGCTGGCAGCTGGCGGCCGGACCCTGCTCCCTGCTCTGGTGTCACACCTTGTCCCCACCACGCTGCACAACCCCGAAYTGCGGCAGAGCCAAACCTGCGGCCCCGGCTGCCCCCTCTCCTCACCCCGCACAGCCAGCTGGGGATGTGGCCCCCCAAGGGGCCCGGGGCTCCGCAGCTCCCGGGGAGAACAATGGCGCATCCCTGCCCCGGCCCCTCTCCCAGGGACAACAATGGCAGGAGCCGGAGTCGGAGCCGCCTGAGCTCATCTCCCCCCGAGAGCCTGGAGGGGGCTGGGGCGGGCGGGGGGCCGCGGGCTGMGCCACAAAGGCTCCCTCCCAGCCCGGCTCTGTGCCTCGCACATGAGCGGCCCCGCTCCCACCCCGCCATCTGCACCCGCCCCAGGGGAGCCCGTGCGGGAGGGACACRGCGGCAGCATTTTGGGGGGGATTCGGAGAGCCGCCCTTGGCTCCTCTCGGGCCGCGGGGCTGAAGCCCCCACCCCACTGCAGACCGGCCGCCAGATCTCCCTTGCAGCTGCTTTGTGTCTCGGTGTGCCAGGGCATTGTCTGCGAGATAGAGACCCGGCGAGGCAGCCCGAGGTCACGAGCATCTCCTCAGCAGCCTCCCTGCGTGCACGGGGCGGCCGCTGGCCCCTCACATCCTGGCTCGGGAGGAAGCGGCTTCTGCCCCTCGGCCCCCGGGGCATCGCCCCCCAAAACCGGTACCCACCAGCTCGTTTTTCACCCTTGCTCTATAAAAACTCAGTGAGGCTGAGTCTGTGTCCTTGCTGGAAAGTGGGTGGTTGGGCAGAGGGAATCCCTGGGGGAGGAACGGCCCAACCCGGTTATTAGACATCAGAGAGTCTCGATATTAGACATCGCTGAGTCTCCACGGGCAGCAGCAGCAGCTTTGACGCGCGGCTCCCGAGGAGAGCTCAGCCCATCCGTTCCCTGCCCACGGACTGACTTTGACCCCGGTGACGGGGCACCCGGGGGGGGGAGAGGTGTCCCATCTGTCCCCTCCCCATGGCCCACGGCAGCTTGGTCCCCCCTGCCCTGCCTGGAGCGGGAGCAGAGCCGGGACCCCGCTAGGGGCTGAGACGCCTTCGGTAGGCTGATACCGAAATTAAGGGGACGGTGAGCCGGGATCCCGGGAGCAGGATCMGAAACAACGGGGTAACGTTGGGACCCCTGGGACAGGACTGCGACCCGGGGGACAAGGACCGGGACCCCCGCGGGAGCAGGTGCGGGTATCTCCGGGGCCGGGGCCGTGGCCGTTGCCGGGGCCGTTGCCGGGGCCAGCCCGGTCCCTGCCCGGTCCCTGCCCCCGCGAGGCTCCACCCCGGGCGGTGCGGGATAAAACTTGGGGCACCTCCCCGGCAGCTCCGCGTCAGGGCTGCGCTCGGACCGGCTGCAACGCTCGGGAGGTGACACCGCACCGACCACCACCTCCCCCCGGGACGTTTTTGGGGTCTCTCTCCCTCTTCCTGCCGCCGGAGGCAGCTGAGCTCCCGCCGCGCCGGGATCCGCGGGGCCGCGCTCGGTGAGTAGAGCCGCGCCGTGCCGGTGGGGACCCGGGTCGGGCTACGGGGGGGATCGCGGATCGGGACCGTTCTCTCTCGGTTGGTCTCCCCGGAGCGGGAGGGGTGGCTCCGCTTCCCCGGGGCTCCCGGGGGGATGCACGGCAGAGCCCCTCTYGGTTTGTTCGGGAGCTCTGCTCACCCTCAGAGACCCTCGGTGTCCTCGGTCACTTGGAGCTTTGCCTGCCTCCCGGGAACGGGAGCAGGAYCGGTTCCCCCCGCTCCAGCTGTCGGGACCCCGGTGCTCCCTCTCGGCTCCCTCCGCGTCCCGGGGAGCGGCTCCTCGCCCCTAAGACCCCGGCATTCCGTGGGGAAGCTGCCGGGCAGGGTCCCTTTCTTCCCGGTGGGCGAGCAGCGGCCCCGGGGCGCACCGCGGCCGGGCTGTCCGGTCGCTCGGTAAGGGCCCCCCGGTGTCTCGGTRAGGGCTCCCCGGCGCGCCGCCGGTGCGGCCCCCGCGGCCCCCCCGGGCGCAGGAGGAGCGGCGGGCCGGCAGAGGGCGCCCGCGCTTTGCTGACTCATAGCCCCCCCCCGGTGCGGGTGCCGGGACGGGGCCCCGGGGCTGCGGGGTGTCCGTTCCATTCCCCCGGGCGGCGGCAGGCGGGGCTGGGGCCGCTGTGGCGGAGGTTCCAGCTGCGGGATTGGGGGGCGCAAGAGCGTRTTGAGGGGAGCAGAGGGCTTAACCCCTCGTCGGGACAGTTCCCCGTAGCTGTAACGGCGTCACCGGGAGGGTGACCGGGCGGGTGCGTGTGACCGGGCGGGTGTGACCGGCCGCGGGTGACTGTGCATGTCCCCYCCGCCCTTTCCGCCTCTGTGTCCCGGCGTCACTGGGCTCCGGGGGCTCCAGCTCCCGCCCGGCCCCGCGGGCAGTCACCTCCCGCCGCGGCCTCCTCCGGTGCGGGGGCCGCTCACCGCCCCCGCCGCGGCGCCGCGGGCCGCCGTCTGCCCGTGTCCCGCGTTCACCCCTCCGCGGCGCCCGGGCCTCGCACGCTAATCGCACCGGCTCCCCGGAGAATGGGGGCCCGGCGGGTGCCCAGCGCTGCCGGTGCCCGGCCGGACCCCCGAACCCCCCGCGCCCCTTTGTTGTGCGCCGGGATTATGAATGGCTCCAGGCGCGGCGCGAGGGCGCGCGGGGGGCGGGGCCGGGGGCGGGGCCGCGGGACCGCGTGGGCGGGAGGAATCCGGCCGGACCGCCCCGCCCACCGGGCCACGTGGGGAGCCTTTGCTCGCCTCCCATTGGCCGCCGCCGCGGATGTCTGGGCGCTCGGCGCGCTGCCATTGGCCGAGGCCGCCGGAGGAGCCGGAGTGAATGAGGGCGAGGCCCCGCCCGCGGGACGTTGCTACATTGTAACTTCCCTCCCCCCCGGTGCTCCCACGGCAGCGCGAGCGGCGGCCGGTTCGGCGGGTCCGGCCCCAGAGAAGGGGGAGCGAGGCGGCCTCCCCGCCCCTCGCCGCGGCCTCGGGCCTCACCCCGCCCCCAGACACCCCGCACCGAGAGCACAGAGCGGCGGCGAGGAGAAAGAAAGGAGGCGGCAGGCAGGGGCAGGCAGCGCCGCTTCCACCGCCCCCCTTTCCCGCGGCAGCCACCGGAGCGGGGCGAGAACGGGAGATTTTAGATTTTTTTATTTTTTTATATATATATATATATATTATTTTGTCCGCCCCGACCGCGGAGGGTACGGCCGGTGCAGTCCTGCTTGGGGACCCCCTCCTAGCCGCCCCCCCGCCTCCTCCCGGCCCCCGCCCGAGGCCTCGCCGCGCAGCCGGAGCTCCCGTGGGTCCTGCCGGGCGTGTGGCGGAGCGGGCCCCGCTCCCTCCTTTGTCCGCTCCCGCCCCC